CAGGCATGGTCCTCTGGGTCAAGTTCACTGACTGCTGCTGTGGTCAACTGAGCTTAACCAGTCCAGAAAGAAAGCCCATCATATGATCCTCTTGGACAAGGTTGTAGAATTAAATGAGATGGCGTATGTGATGTGCTTAGCACAGCACCTGGCACGTGGCTAACGATTAGTAAATAGAAGCAATTATGAACATTATACCAGCCACACTGTGTGCAACCACTGCCACCCATCAAGGGTGTATTGAGCACCAGGTAAAACTGGGTATTGCTACCAATGTGACAGAAAATTGCCACCTGCCTGTCCAGCTTTTCCTGACTTCTTCAGTGTGCCATTATTAATTAATTTACCTATATCCTCTAAAAGCTAGGGAACTCATTTACATACCATATAGTAAGTGTCCCTAATTATTCTCCCTTCCTCACTACTGGGTTTGGTGCTTTGGAAAATCTTTTAAAGGTTTGATCTCTCGATTTTACCTCTCATGAGCACTCTTTTCCAACCCTGCATATGGCCCCCGGCTGTTCCTCCATTTGCTGACCTGGAAGGTTGTCAGAGGCCCTCTGCTGGTTATTTCACTAATTTCCAACACGTGTTGGAAGTGAACCTGGCCAAAGACATGCATGTTGTCATTTCTCTAAGCCAGGCATCCCCAAACTATGGCCCGCGGGCTGCATGTGGCCCCCCGAGGCCATTTATCTGCCCCCCCGCTGCACTTCAGGAAGGAGCACCTCTTTCACTGGTGGTCAGTGAGAGGAGCACAGTATGTGGCGGCCCTCCAACGGTCTGAGGGACAGTGAACTGGCCCCCTGTGTAAACAGTTTGGGGACGCCTGCTCTAAGCAGTCATATAGCCAGTATGCGTTTTCTGGGATGAGGCTGTTTATCATGGTCCTAACTACCAGCAAGAAGCATTTTACGCAGGCCTGCACTGTCTGCTGGAGATGTGGTCTTACCATTTATCCCCTTGACAATCCTGATCTGTCCCCTGCACAGTTTGTGTTGGGCTTTGGGGGTATTCTGTCTCAGCTGTCCACAGGAGTACAGTGAGGCAGGGCAGAGAAGTAGGGGCAACCTCCCCTCATCATTTTCCTCTGTGGATGTAATGGCTCTGCCCTGGACTCCCAAAGGCTGCTGGACCCTGCAGGTAGGGCTTATTATGTGATAAACTACCTCAGCCAGGGGCCAAGAGGTCTTTGGAGAAAATAGAGGCAAAAAGGAGCCCGCGTGTGCTCCTTTTTGCAATCTAAATGGGTTGCACAGTGGCAGCTTCGGCCAGGAGTTTGGCTGAGTTCAGCTGAGATGGCATGATTGGACTACGGGTGAGTCCGGACAGGCTGCCCAGTGCAGGCCCTCCATGAAAGAGCCTTGAACCTTGACAGGCAGGGTACAGTGCTCTTGGTGTCCCTGTGCTCACACTGAAGGATGGGGGTTCATGTTTTGCTGGAAGGTGCTTCCTGCTGGATTGGTGGCCCCCAGGTAACGTCTAGAACCAAAAAGTGGTTTGAGGTCAAAGCAAGGGCAGAGGCTCTGGGTTTACTCCCAAACCGATATAAAGTTGTAAGAAAGCTGGATTTCAGAAGAAAATGCAAAATATAGAATTATTTGTAAGCGGCTTATATATTTCTCACAATTAAAAAAAGAGAGAATGAACTTATTGAAATGTTATATAAGAACTCTAAGTAATAGCCCCAAGGAACTCTTGCTTAGCCAGCCACTTAATGCTGCAATTCACCATTTATATGAGTTAGATCCTTTGCATATGTGACAACAAGGGAATGTCCAGGATCACAACAGAGTGACAAGTAGACAAGTGCATAAAACATTTTGTGGCATTTGCCTGATCTCCGACATTAATAAGATCTTGGTCAATATTTCTCTGAAAGTTCACAGAAAAATTAAATATCTTGGCCAAAGTTGTGTATTGCTGGCTCTTTCAAAATTATCAACAGAGTGTTCTTAAAGTTTTGGTTGCATATGATTTCTTGTCAGCAGTACAGGAAGGTCACAAAATCCTTTATTCATTTTCCCTAATCTCAGGAATATCTTGGCACCACCAGCAGCGAGTCCAGCTTCTGACAGCTACAGCACACACCTGCATCTTAAGGATGGCCAGTTGAGTCAAAGCTGAGAGCATATCTTATAAACAGAATTATTAATAGCTTGCTTCAAATTTTTTTCATTTGGCAAACTTGAGCACAAAATGCATGGAAGGTGTGCATAGATGATGCTTCTAGTTCCTAGAGAAGATGTGGCTTCATAACCTAACAGACTAAAGACGTTCCCACGTCTTTTAGAAATTGGTTCCCAAACACGTGCTTGAAACAGTGTCTACAAATATACATGCTCATTGTCTAAAATTAGCCCAATATCTCAGTCTATCTGAACCCAGTTTGCAAAATGGAGACAATAATGCCTTGTGGCCAAAAAGCCATCCATGACTGGTCAGCTGTGCAGCCTCTGAGTCAGGCCAGATGCCTGGCAAGTCAGGAGACCAGAGAGCACAAGACCGCCTGAGTTGCACTCACTCTCCATGCAGCCAAGGCTTTCTCCACTGCAGGTGGAATTCTGGAACCTCAAAAGTGTAATAGTTAAAGATGTACTGATAGATCAACAAAGTGGGAAGCCAAACCAAGAATGTTCCTGAGACTGGTGGACCAGCCATGCCCTGAGACTCATAAAATAGCTACCAAGGAGACTGACGGGTGGAGCCCATGAGACCCGTTTGAAAAGCAACATCAGCAACACTATCCGTACAATGCACATCTTTCTTTGGATGGACCATTGTATGGTCATTCATTGTACAGCAAAATAGGTATCCCAAAGTTCAAGACCCCCGGCTGGCCAGGCTTCCTTCCCTCTTTCCTTCATTCTCTTCTCTTGCACTGCACTTTCCTGATTTTCTTCATTGGTCTTTCTTTGTTCCTGGATCCATTTCCCCTTGCTGTCCTCTGAGTGCCTGAGTGATCCTCAGTCCACTTCTCTATCCACACTCACTCCCAAGGTGACCTCATGTCCAGTCCAATGGCTGTACAAATGTACAACACCCAGTGACACCCAAATTTATGTCCCTAGGACTCCCCCCTCTCTCAACTACAAACTGGTATATTCAATTTAATTTCACTTAAAAGACAAATTAAAAATATTAATTAATAAAATACCAAAAGAACCACAAAATCTTATCTGATGAATCAAACAAAGTATCTCACATATCATGCATTTGTCTGAATTATGTGGCTGTGCATTTTATAATCTGAGCACTGGAGGAGAGGCCTGCATGATTTTTTAAACTGTGTCATACGTAGGTGTCAGTCAATTCTGCTTAATGCTATATTTCCATATCTATAGAGTACCCTGTTTTGAATAGGCTATGTTTCAAAATCCTTTGGGTAAATTAATATTCTGAGTCTTATTTCACAATTTTTAAAGAAGTATGGCTAGGCCATAACGTGTTGAGCTTTTCTTCCTTTTCCTGGCTACTGATGTCAGCTGAGTTGAAGGTGTCAAGGCCTTCATGAGTTCATTCCAACACCACAAATTCCTGGCCTCCTGTCAGTACCCACCTCAGTCATACCTGTAAACCTGCACGCTGACCTGTCTAGAGCAGCTCCCATCATGACTGCTCAGAAATTGTAGTAGTCCCTCCTACCCATGGAACTTAATAGAATTATGGACCATCAGAGGGGCAGGGACCCACAGAAAGGCCTATTGTGAGAATATCAGCTATACTTAACATCTGAAATATTATCTTGTTTAGTATAATTTTAGTGATCATTTACTTTCCTTTCTTTTTTAGGCCCAAACAGCTGAAAATAATAAGCCTCTTTTCTCTGGAAAGAGAATCAAGTCCTGTTTTTTGCAATATAAACAGTGGTTACCTTATATTTAAAAAAATCTCAGAATGGCTCCTGGTCCTCTAGAAAATAATCTATGTACAGTTCATAATGTAGAATTAATTCACAGTTTCTATTTTAAACACTCATTTGTTGGAAAAAATATGTAATTGCAGCACTGAAAGAGCTGTAAACAAATGAATACCCAGACTTAAAACAATTTTAGCAATTATTAAACTGTTTAAATTTAACAATTTTAAATATTTGTCCACAGTAGACCACTGTGGACAGATATTTAAATCCCAAACCTAAATATCAAGAGACAGGAACTAGGTAGCAGAGATTACCTTAGGTGTAAAATCTCACTTTCAAATGTCCTTAGCAGCCTAGAGATCTATGTCCTCTGGGGCATGCAAAGACATTCTGTCCACACCACAAATGAGACAAATTCATCAGACCCTTCACTAAGATTCTGAAAGCTTTGGAAAGAAGATTCCTTTTTTTTTTTTTTTTTTTTTTTTTTTTGAGATGGAGTCATGCTCTGTTGCCTAGACTGGAGTGCAGTGGTGCAATCCAGGCTTACTGCAATCTCTGCCTCTCAGGTTGAAGTGATTCTCCCATGTCAGGTTCCCGAGTAGCTAAGATTACAGGTGCCACCACCATGCTGGCTAATTTTTGTGTTTTTAGCAGAGACGGTGTTTTACCATGTTGGCCAGGCTGGCCTCAAACTCTTGATCTCAGGTGATCCACCTGCCTCAGCCTCCCAAAGTGCTGGGATTTCAGGCATGAGCCACTGTGCACAGCCCATATTTTATCTGAAATTGAATTGTAAGGTTGATATAAAACCAAGGATGTACCAGGAGCCAAACTTAGAATGGGAATGGATCGATTTCTGATTTCAAGTTTTGATCTTGGAAGAAACTTACCTGAACATTATTAAAAATTATCTACATGATACAAATTATCCCAAAGTGTTTTTATTCTGAAATGTCCAGTTCCAATTTATATCGTGTCAGATATGTGTAAAATTCATTACTGTTACATGTTTGAAAACATAATATTCGAACGCAGCTTATTCTTGTTTTTAGAACTTGACACCTACTTTTCAAATCCTCTCTTTGATCTGAGAACTCAGAAGAAATTGGAAACTTGAAATCGTGACACTCCTTACCTGATGTTGGCTCAATAGCAAAGGCTTGATGAGACTGAATCAAAGTGATATGGAACTCAAAATCTACAGGACAGCTGCACTGCAAAGGAATAACATAAGTTTTGCTGCAAAACAAACAAAAAAGAAAACAAAAATATTATTTTTCTTTATAACTAGTTCTTTTGGTAGCAAGGAATGGAGACTCAAGTTATGTAATAAACAACAATGATGACTGCCAGTGCTGATCTAGCACTTCCCGTGTGCCAGGAGTAATCCCATGCATTTCCCATGTATTAACTATTTTAATCCTACAAGGTGGTGCTGTGATTATCCCCACTTACAGAGGAGGAAACTGAGGCACAAGGGAGGGTATGTGTTCCACATAAGGTGACGTAGTTAGTTAGTGGCAGACCCGGGATGTAGCACAGTTGATCGTGCTGGGTGTCCATACGCCTCACACCACTGTCCTTGCTACCTCTTGAGTACTGTTAGGTCTATTTTCCAGAATTGGCGTGATAGGGAAAAGGCAATTTGTACCACACAGCTTGGCCTCACCAAACCAAGAAAAGGCCAAAGAGACGGGCTTATAGAAAGCCTGGGGACCCCTGGCCTTTCATAGAGCCTGCACGGGACAGTGTGGAAGAAGCCACACTTTGGGCTGTGCTTGATGGAAAGAGGGCAGGTACTCTTCATTTGATCAGAAGTCCAGCAACTATTAGAATGTGGAGGAGGTCTGAGTACTCAGAAATGGTCTGGCACCACAAGACAAGGCGAACTTCGTCACTTACAGCACCACAGGAGCTGTGGCAGCGGTGGCATTTCTTGGAGTGCTCCATGCTTCCCATAATGTCCCCTCCTCCTGTCAGGGCAACCCAAGTCAGCCAGAGTCGACTGCCTAGGGAAGCAGAGCTCTCCAGGGTAATTCGGCATCCTATGCAGTGCTGGGGCAGGTTATCGGGCCCCCTTGCAGCAGTAGGAAGTCAAGCGCCTCCTTTCAAGTGACCCAGCCACTCCCTGCATTCCTGATTTTTTTTTTTTTGCAACCCTTCCCTTCTGCTTCAGCCACCAGCCAGCTTCATCTTCGACTCTGAACATCTCTTCTCTACCCCATACCTTCCGAGCCCTCATCCCATCACAGCCCTCCTGCTGCGAGGCTGGCCCTGCCTCTTATCCTTTTAGCTGCTGGTCTCCCTGCCAACTGCCCATCCCCTCTCATTTCCCAGTTCATATTCCCAGGAGAACAGTTGCAATCTGGTTTGAGCAGAGCTGCAAGGCCAGCTGATGAGCTCTACCTTCTGGGCAGGACCCATGTAAACCCATCTGTCTGTGGACTTCTCCAGTAAGGACAGGCTTCCCTACCTGCCCAGTGTCTATCTTCCCTGGAGATTCAGAGTCCTATGAATGCAGAGACCAAGTCCATTTGGGTTTTAGTATATCCCAGAGCATCACACAGACCAAAACTCAACAAATATTTGTTGGTGTGAAGTGAAATAACCCTTTTTTCAGTAGCAACTTTGGGGATATGATATAGCTCAGATGTGGCTTTATAAGTTATGTCCCAAATATTTTCATTTGGATTTAACAGTCATTGTCTTTAAAAAAAATCTGTGAAATATTTCAAATATAAAGGAAAATGTAAAGAACAATAACATAAAGATCCCTTTATCTACTTCCGAGCTCTAACAAATCTTTTGCTTTGAGTATGTCAGCATTATGTTTTTAAAGAAAGAAAACATTACAAAAGAGTTGACGCTCCCTGTAGCTCCTTCCCCAATTCTCTCCCTCTTCTTCCTTGCTTTAAGGTAGTTTTATCAATCTTTACTTTGGAAAAAATTAAAATCTCTTCCAAGCTATGAACATGGCATGTCTCTAATTTACTCAGGTTTAATTTTATGTCCTTAATCAAATTTTATATGTGACCCCTACCCTGTATTCACTGTTCTACCACTCTCATGCATTCTAGTAATATTACTACTTATATTTGTATGCATAAAATATGTGGTATGCATAAAATATGTAGTATATTGTTTGTTTTTAACAATATTGCCCTGAAATGTGCTATTTTTGCTCAACAGTATGTTTTTGAGATTTGTCCATGGAAATATGTAAAGGCCTGTTCATTCATTTTAACTAGTGAAGAGAATTCCATTATATAATTATACCACGCTTTGTTCACCCACTCTCCTGTGGATGGGCATTTGGGCTGTTTGCATTTTTTCACTATTGCAATGTTGCAGCGAAGATCCTACTACATGACTCCATGTCCACCTGCAGTAGAATTACTTTAGGTATAACCCCAAATGGGATTTCTGGTTAGTAGCAAAGTAAAAATATTAAAGTTAGTAGATAGGACTAAAATATTTTTCAAAGCTCTTTATGAATTTATGCTTCTACTGGCAGAATAGGAGAGATTCTGTTGCTTGCCAACATTTAGGATTCTTAGGCATTTTAATTTCTGTCAACCTGATGGAGGTGAAATCTCATTCCACTATCATTCTCATTCTTTTGAGATTCAGCTTCTATTACTATGTATTCATTTGGGTTCTTTCTCCTGTGAATTGCCTGTGCATAGCCTTTGCCCATTTCTCTATTCAGTTGTTTTGTTCTCTTATTCATTTGCAAATTCTTTTTTTTTTTGAGACAGAGTCTCACTTTGTCACCCAGTCTGGAGTGCAGTGGCATGATCATAGCTTACTACATCCTTGATGTTCCGGGTTCAAGATCCTCCCATCTCAGTCTCCTGAGTAGCTGGGACCACACGTGTGCACCACCATGCCTAGCTAATTTTTAAATTTTTTGTAGCGATGAGGTTCTACTATGTTGCCCAGGCTTGTCTCGAACTCCTGGGCTCAAGTGATCCTCTTGCCTTGGCCTCCCAAAGTGCTGGGATTATATGCGTGAGCCACCATGCCTGGCCTCATTTGTAAATTCTAATATTAATTTTGTTAATTATATGTATTGCAAGTATCTTTCCCAAGCCATAGTTTACTTTTTGATTTATTTATGGTGTTTTGTGTTGAACATAAAATTTTAATTTTAAGGTAGTCAGTTTTATCAATCTTTTTTTGGAGAAAATTGAAATCTGTTCTAACTATGAACACAGCATATCTCTAATTTATTAAGGTTTAATTTTTTTTTTTTTAGATGAAGTCTCGCTCTATTGCCCAGGCTGGAGTGCAGTGGCTCAATCTTGGCTCACTGCAACCTCCACCTCCCAGGTTCAAGCAATTCTCCTGCCTCAGCCTCCCGAGTAGCTGGGACTACAGGTGTGTGCCACCATGCCCAGCTAATTTTTTCGTATTTTTAGTAGAGACGGGGTTTCACTGTGTTAGCCAGGATGGTCTCTATCTCCTGTGATTTGCCCACCCTGGCCTCCCAAAGTGCTGGGATTACAGGCGTGAGCCACTGTACCTGGCCAAGGTTTAATTTTATGTCCTCAATCAAGTTTTGTAAGTGTCTCCATAGTGAGCTTACACATTTTGGTTAAGTATTTTCCTGTGTTTTGGTATGTTTGGGTTGTTAGAATACCATAAACTGGGTGGCTTCTGAACAACAGAAATTTATTCCTCACAGTTCTGGAGGTTGGAAAGTCCAAGATCAAGGTGTTGTCAGATTCGGTTTCTGCTGCAGGCCCTCTTCGTGGTTCACAGATGACCATCTTTTCCCTATGTCTTCATATAGTGGAAGGGGCCATGGAGCCCTTTTATAAGGACACTAATCCTGTTCATGAGGGCTTTGCCCTCATGGCCTAATCACCTTCCAAAGGCCCCATCTCCTAATATATCACCTTGGGGGTTATATTTAAACACATATATTTTGAGGGGGAAACAAACATTCAGAACATAGCACCAGGTATCTAATAGCTTCTGTGTCATAATGAATAGAATGTTTTTCTTTTATAATTCATTATTACTAGTGTATTGCAATGCTACTTTTGGATTTTGTTCCAAAACCCTGCTAAAGTCTTTTATGGGTTGTAAAAGTTTATCTGTAGATTTCCTTAGATTTTCTATGTAGAAAATCACACAGTCTAGTCCAGGCATGGTGGCTTGCACCTATAATCCCAGTGTAAGTTATATAATCTGAAAAAAAAAAAAAAAAAAAGAGAGACTTTCTTACTTTTCCAACTCTTATAACTCTCATATATTTTTCTGATCATTGTACTGATGACTTCTAGTATAATACTGAATGGAAGTGAAGAGGGCATTCTTTTGTTATTTTGACTTTATTGGAACTATGTTAATTTTTACTACTAAGAATGATGTTTCTAGAAAGTTTGTGATATGCCTTATAAGGTCAAGGGAATTCTTTTCTGCTTCTAAGCTTTTATTTCATTGAATCATGAATGAGTTTTCTTTTTCTTAAAGTTTGGTTGGTATATGTACCTCTTCCATTCTTTCATTTTCAAACTTCCTGAAAAGTTTTATTTTAGATGTGTCTCCAGAAAGCAGCATATAGCTGGATTAAAAATTATTTAGCAGATGGGATGTTTTCCTTTTAATAGGTGAGTTTACTCTGTTTTCATTTGTTATAATTAATCATAGATATATTTGAACATATTTCTATCACCTTGTTTTGCGTTTTCTAACACAAAAATCGTGTTTTCTAAAAAACATCTTTGGTTCATTTTTGTTCTTTTGCCTCTTCCTGGACTGACTGCTTTTTTGTTTCTACTTTTTTTCCTCCTATGACTTGGCAGCTCTAGATTGCATTTCTATAATTTTAATTATTACTGTAAATTTTTGAAAGATATGTCTTATTGACAGCTGGGTGCTGTGGCTCATGCCTGTAATCCCAGAACTTTGGGAGGCTGAGGCTGGTGGACCACTTGAGCTCAGGAGTTCAAGACCAGCCTGGCCAATGTAGCAAGACCCCATCTCTAAAAAAAATTCAAAAATTAGCTGGGCACAGTTGCATGTGCCTGTAGTCCCAGTTGCTCAGGAGGCTGAGATGGGTGGATGGCTGGAGCCCAGGACGTGGAGGTTCCAGCGAGCCGAAATTGCACCACTGCACTCCAGCCTGCACTCTGGAGCACAGCCTTGTCTCAAAACAAACAAACAAAAAAACCCCCAAATCCCAAAACGATATGTCTTACTTATGAAAATTTCCAACAATGTCTAAATGT